GTTCAGCAGCAACTTACTCTATATCTTAATCTATTAATTATTTTCATAGTGTAATTTGCGTCATGTTGTATGACAATTCCTCCATATATGACTTCTGAAGCTAATAATATCTTTTGCGGCGATTGTGTTGCAAAAGCTATTCATGTTTTCCGCGTTTTCCGACTTTTCCGCAACGCTGACAAAAGCAAAAGCAAAAGCCATTGCCTGGCCTGGCCGCTGACGTGATATTGTCACGCGACGTAGATTAATTGAGAGTTATTAGAGAAAAATATAATCAACTCGCCTATTGCGGTTATAAGTTCATAAAGCTCGGCGGTTCGAAAGGAATATGATATGCTTTATTATTCATTTTAATATTTTCGAACTCCACTCCACTCTGGCTAATGAAAAAGGCGGACATTGATAGATAAAAGTTATAGTTTTATAGATCTTTCCATAATGGAAATGGACGATTTGCACTTTTTCTCGTACGAAATTAATTTATTTGTAATATTTGTATATTTTCAAGTCAAATATTCATATTTTGCATATGCAATACAACTGCTATGATTATGTTAAAGCTCAAAATTCTAATCAGTCTGTTTTAGTTCGAAAGGAGAAGTTTATGCTATTGCCAAAAAAGTCGATTTGATCAGTTTATGTTTTCTCAATATCTCACGTCTCAAGTTCCTATTGATTGATTCTCATTTATTTTGAACTTGTCCAAAGGTAAAATACCTCTTACTAGTTTACATTCTTAAAATCAATTGATTAAAGTTTCATATTTGTTCAACAAATAGTTGCTATGTTGATATTAAACTTTACCATTGTAATTGGTTTCATTAGCTGTTCAAATTAGTTACTCCAGAACTTTTTTACAATATTCATATTTTATTTCAACAGTAGTGATTGCTTGTTTATTAAGGAAAATAATTTTTGAGACTGATTCTTAATAATTGGACTATCAATCCTTCAAATGTTATATTATACTTCAACAATAAAAGTGTAATTTTTACCTTTTTAGCGATTTCAAACAGAATTCTTGTGAAGTTTAATTATATTTAATAAATTAAATTTTAATTGCTCGAGAAAGAGGAATAGTTCAAAGCAATATAAATATAATGAAAATTAAAATGTAGGGTCAAGACCAAGCCGATTTCCCAGGAAAGATTTATAAAATGTAGTTTGTTTTTAGTACTATTTGTACTAGATATTATTCATTCATTCGCTTTGTGAAAATGCTTGTGGGTTTTCAAATGAATGCTTGTGAATTCTCATTAAAACCAACATTCATTTTTATTAAATGTGTAAAATTTATATTATACTTACTAGTTAATGTATGAGAGAAAATTATTATCCAGAATAGATCATTTGTTGATTTTACCTTTTCAATTACATTTTCATTACCTTATCTTTCATAGTATTTGTACATTTTATTTATTATTGATTATAATATTTACAAAACAAATCTTGCTCTATTGCTTTCTATTATAATAATGCTACTAGTAATTATTTATCAAACTCTTATTTATACATTGTGATTAAGTACGTTATGTTTATTATATTTAAATAAACATTTATAGTTTATCAATGATATTAGTAGCAGTTGTATATATTTTTTATGATTTTCTCATTAGATATAATTATTTATTATTGTTACTGAAACATACTCTAAAACAATAGATTCGTATGATAAGATTTTTATGGTCCGTTGACACAGCTATTAGTTAATTTGTTATTAAATGGATAAATGATATAGATGATCCTAAACTTTTAACTTTTAAGAGAATTGCTTTATCCAAGTTGCCAAGACTTGCTTTATTCAAAACTAAGTACATATAACAAAACACTAAACACAAATAAATAAGCTGAATTCAAAGTTTAATTCCATGAAAAAATCCTAATAAATGATTATTTCTAATAGTATTTTAATTAAATTGTTTATAATCAGTTGGTGAATGGGTGTATAGAATATCAGACATTTAATAAATGTAGAGTACTGTTATTAGAATTGTATTTTATCTAGATATATTAAGAAGTTATATATACAAAGCACAAAATTTCAATAGTCATAAATTGTGATTTTTCGTGGAATATAGCTTTGTAATTTAGTATATTTGATTTTTATTACTTTATATTTTCTGTTGTACTTAATAATTAAATTACAGAAAGTATTGACAAATAGAATTTTTTTGGAAAGTATAGAAACTACTTTGGCATCATCATCTATATATATATATATACAATTTAATAACATATTAAAAAATTAAAGATTTTAAGTGATCAATAACAATGAATTTCCATGGTATCTTGATCTATTATAAAATAATGATGATTAAGGGTGATGATACATAATTAATAATAATTTCACAATAAATATTAATGAAAGTTATATACGCGTATATAAGAACATTTCAATCAGCGAATTCCATTAAAATTTATAGAATATTTCCTAGTTCTTAAGAGATGTTTAACTTGGAATAAATCTGATTTTAAAAACGTTCTCTTACTGCACGTATTCATTTTAACACAGAGTAATGAATGCATTTTATAATTGAGTAATCTCATTCTGTCATGAAGCATTTTAATTATTTTGTTCGTCGTTTTAATTTCGAATTTCAGCCAACTTTTCCTTATAACTCTTGGCATAGCAGCCAGAATTTATGAAATAGTTTTTATTTAATTTCTTCCGACGAAGAATTCACGGAATATACTAACAGCACTTAAAAACACATTTAATGGAAATTTGATTTTCATACATATTTATAAATATACATAACTTCCATACATCTTTATAAATATTCATACTTTGAACTTCTGCTGCCAATTACATCCTTAATAAAAGGAATATTGAGGTCGTCATGGATGATTTTATTACTAACATACCAAGGTGCGTCGGTGATGCCTTAAGATTTTGGATAACATCCGTTGCATTAAAACAATGTTGGATATGCTGGCGCAACCCCAAAGCTCTATACCGTAGGTCCAGATGGGCTTTATTACAGATTTATATATCAACAGCTTGTTGTCAAGCGATATGATTGATTTGCGCCTCTTTAGCCAATTCAGATCTGCAATCTTCTATTTAACAAAAATAAAAATGTTGTGATATAAACCTATTTGTTATGTCTTTCCTTTATTCATTTCTATGATCTATTTTATAACCTGATTGGATCGAGCAGGTAGAGAATTTAGTTTCGTAAAACGATTCGTTGTGTACAAGTACAATGAAATCGAATCAAGCTACATGTCCCATTGTCATCTCCCATTACAAGCGTTGTATTAGATACACAATGCAATCGTGTAATAATAATGAATTCATATCTATCTATTCAGGATCGTCTCATTATCGGCGATGGTGTGGCTGTGTAGTGTCCCTCGGCCGCTCCGTGTGCGATAGCGCACAAAGCAAACAATACAGGCAGCGATCCAGTAATGCGTGACCGTCCGCGAGTAAATTGTAAATCATTGTAATTATTGCATCGAATTAGCATCACAGAGCGATGCGAATATGCTAAATCAGTTGAGTGGCTCAGATACGTTTCGATGTTTAACATTGAAATCTAATAATAAAGGTGTACCAATGATAAAAATCTGGAATATACGCCAAGCGGGAAATCGACGATCTGCACTGATTAAAGCCAGTAGGTACCTACTGTGCTGTATGTTTGACTTACAGCTAAAAGCTGATCAGTTCAGCTACTACCCATACGAAAATCAGTAAAGTGCGACTTAAGCTCTTTCACTGATACTTGCAAACTTTTCTCTATTTTAACAAAAACACGATTTTACAATTAAATTTACATCTGTTAAACATCTTCCATATTCAAAAAAAGCGTGAACATCTAGAACACCTTCGAAGGTCGATGAATTGGCTCCTCTTCTTTATATTTATCCTCAGTAGTAGATCAAAACTGTCGATGTACAATAAAATTTTATTATACAAAGTTATTCTCAAACCAGTTTGGATGTATGGCATCCATCTATGGGGTGCTGCTAAAGTCAGTAACTTACAAATGATGCAACGATTTAAAAAATAATACTCAGACAAGCAATATCCGCGCCAAGGTATGTACCGACATGGCTAATTTACCAAGACACTGATACACTCACAATCAGTGAAGAAATTAAAAAGAGTGCCCATAATTTCAAGACTAACTAAAATTGACCACCATCCAAACGATCTGATTGCAAGTCTTTACAACACCACACACAATATAAGATTAAAAAGAATACAATTAATAGATCTAACACATTAATCAATAATAAGTTGTTCTACCATATTATTTATGATAGGTGAGTGTATGTATGTGTATATGTTGTCTGTGTAATGTACTTTGTTTATAATTGTATGTATATTTGAGTTTCTTCTTTTTCTTTATTATACCAAAATTAAAATATAATTTAGTACACTAATAAAAGGTAAACCACTGGTTTTTCCTTTTAAAATTTAATATGTTATTTGTCAAACTAATTACTCAATGTCTTTCTATTTAGACAGATTGTAATTTATAAGAAAATAAAAAAATTAAAAAAATCGTACAATTACCGTAGGGTAAGTTATAGGAATCGTCTAAAATCAAAACTGAAAATTTTTGCATATCTTTACGTTTCAAAGGTTTCTGAACATTTTTCCATACTTTGAAAAAAATTATGTATGTTTTTGTGTGCGTATGTAGGGAAAGTGCAGCGATTCGGAGATACGGAACAAAAAGAAATTAAAAAATCCTTATAGAGTATTATCAAACAACCTTGAATTTTTTGAAATAGATGAATGCATTTGTGAAGAAAAGGTCTAATTTGACCAATATGAACACACATGCTGTCGAACGATTAAGAATGCTTTTGAACGTGCCGAAGACATAAACTTCGTCGGGTAGTTACAAACCCAAAATCGTTTTCATATGTTTTCATTTCAACATCATTTTCTGATTCATATCCTTGATTTTCCTCTCAAAATGACTACAATCAAATATTACTGTATTTTTGTATCACTTACCTTTATTATTTTTCTATTCCAGCCTACCGACGGTTACTACCGATGTGTCGCCACGTCGCCGTTACAGCCGCACAGTCTGCCGCAAGGAGCAGCATCCTCGTCTTCCAATGCAGGCGCACAAACTTGTTCCAATTCCAACGTTGGCAGTTCCGTGGTTGTTGTATCAGCTGGAGGCGTCCTAAGTCATGTGCGCCCAACTGGAGCAGAGGATCTTAGACGAAGGATGAGTGGTACAATCTGCTCCAGCAGCGGATTGGCTACGCCAACCGTCGTTTTGCCAACGCAAGTTGCTGCTGCAGTTTATGACGAGTTTTGCGAAAGCGAGGACGATTTAAGGAACGAGGATATATTATTCAACACGGAAACAGGTCAGTGGTAATAGTAATAATAATAATAATTCAAATTTTAATTCAGTCCAGTAGAAGTTGAGACATCTTGGGTATCGATGGAAAGACCGATTTGAGAAAAATGCGTTTATAGATTTGCGAAGGAAACAGGAGCACTGTAGTGCTTTCCGAAAATAATTCAAAAGTTGAAAAATTTTTCTGTACACATATTTTTGAGCAGCTAAACTTTGAAAATATATTAAAAACATAATTGATCTTTTAAAAATCTAGACCAGAATAGCCTTTGCTCTGAAAAATGTATAAATATTTAATACTTTATGATTTGTTGGTGGACGCAGTCCTATGTTTTGCTGGATGTTACAAAGTTTCTACCAGTTTTATGTATAGTTAAAAAAAGAAACGTTGATTTACGGAAATATTAATTATTTCTGCTGAAACCATGAGGCAGTAGATTTTTTATGAATGATATTTGCTACAATGCTAACGTTCCAACTCTGTCATGTCAGTTTTTTCTACAGTTAGTTTGCTTTTTCACTTCCCAAACGACTATATGTATGACATGTCATATATTATTCATAGAATTCCATATCTATCTTTACATTTGACAAAACATCCCAGAGGATTTCAGTAGAAGTCCACCTTCTTCACGGATATCGAGTCAGTCTGGAAATATATCTCTATTCCCTTGTTAGTAGAGTTTAGCGTAGGGATTTGCGTTAATTAATTCTGTTTAATATTTGTTAAAATGCAGCAGAATAAAAGATTAAACTTGCAGAGCACAATTAAAATTTCAAATTAATTAAATATTTTAATTGTATCTGTACAATTCGTTTTGTAATGCATATTACATTGTATGTGGGCCTCCACAGCGTATTCTACAACAGCTCGGAGTGTGTGCATAATTTACGTTTACACTAATTAAATTCAACGCGATGCGTCAGTAATTAAATGCAACCCAATGAGAATAACGAATCCGGTAATCGCCTCATGTTTGATATGATATAGTTGTAAAACGGTAGCGTTTCTTAAACGTCGTTATAAAACTTTCGAATTAATCACTTATCGCACCATTTACATACCTGAATTAATCACCTCTTAGAAATACGTTTAAGGCTGTCCGTATTGTATTACTATCCGTATTATATTTGATAGCGTTATTTGATGTCAACTGGACCTAAATCAGAGGTTCCAGATTCGCTCCTGCTTCGAGCAGCCTGTTGTCAAGCAGTAGTGACAATGGATTTCACTTGGATAGCAATATAATCCGGAATTGCTACATCAATAAAAATTCGCCTTATTACAGAAATTGTAATAATGATTCATCATACAGAGATAGGATAATTGTTTGGGTTGTCATCTGTAGAGCCAACTAGTATGAAGTCAAATTAGACCAACCGCTTAAGAAGTTCTGATTGCTGTTCCAGACAATAAAAAAAACTTGATACCTGACTACCTCTTTTATTTTAAGAAACACATTTAAAACTGTTTTGCTACTATCTCTTTTATATTGGGTTTTATTGGTTCGATGTGTACTTTAAGTAAGTCCAAGTTTAGTATTCTTGTTCTGTTAGCTGACTAATGAAGTCTACATCTACAAGTCCCAAAAGTCTTTCTCCTGAATTTATATGACTTCATTGTTTCATTGACTATAGTATCCAGAAAAGTTGAAGGATAATATCTGATTTTAAATTTCTAATAATTTTTTAAAATATAAATATGATTTTATTGACCATCAAATCAATTTACTTCAACACTGATGGATTGGGAGTAAGAATTTATAACTATAATTTAACTAGATTGTGTTTCATATATATTTTATGTAGAAGCAAACATTATAATTATATACTCTTTCCATGGCTTAATGCTTTGATTTTTTAATCTGATTATTCCAAATTTGATAACCACTTCGGGTAGCCTGATATCAAGCAGTGATCCATTTTCACTTGAAAATATAAAATTAGCAACTGGATGTACTTTATATCTAAAACTCTTCAATGTATTTTATTTTCACAATCGAGTTACTTGATGTTATAGAAACTAAACCAATGTTTTTATATAATTATAAACTTTTGTAATTGCACGAATAAAGTATACAAAAAGTGAGCTGCTCATCAGGCTGGTATTTACTTAAATTTGCCCTGATTTCGATGTTCTCGTATTCAGAGAGTACATTCAAACTTTTCGAATTCAACATGATAATTTTCGTTTGCTTCTTAAGTATTACTTAAAAATAATGTATTTTTTTACAAGTTTGGCTTGTTCGGTTTAAGCTTGCAAAACATTTTTTAATAGAAATGATTATTCCAGTAGGTAGAGAATCAATTACTTCTAAGAGACAGGAATTAAAATTATATTCTTCCACATACGCTTATTTTACTACTAAATGAGAATTTCATAACTAAATGATATTCATTATTAATTGATCTAATTATTATTTCTAGTCATTTAGATAGAGTTTAGTGCACGTGGGTGACACCGAACAGATGTTCATGAATACGCAGCGAATGTAATAATGTTTATGCAATGAGACACTCGTTGTTGGTTCATTAGAATTTCGTTTTATTGTTTATGTTAAAGCCATTAAATGGTTCCAGAGTTGAATCACACATATTATATTGCTTATCGAATAGCGATCGATAATTAATAATCGTTTTATATCGATATTGGTATTTGGGAAAGGAATTATATTTCAAGCGGGGAGATGATTAATTTGCATGCTGTATGTGCCCGTCTGTATCTTGCTTCAACTCTTCTATTTTTGTGATAATTTGTGATTCATATTTTTATTATACTATTTAGCTACAAGCTAAATTTTAACAATAAAAATAGGCTTAATACAAATCATCTGTCACAAGAATTTTTCAATTTTTTTATTTAATTTTTTTTTAATTTAAAACACTAAATTCCTAGTATATGTGTGTATATATACGTGTATCCATAGATCATTTCATCATGCATAAGTCATCTTGGTCATTCCGCTTCAGTATGACTAAAACATTTATTTTGCAAACTGATATCTTTTAGAAAAACTCATTTAGCGATAATCAGAATGATTAATTGGCATCGTATTTGTCACGAAACAAAACACTATTAGACTTATTGGCGCAGTAGGTTAAAACAGATAAGGACACATCCATGATAACATATTCTGCAACGTATTTATTTAACTACTGTAATGTAGATTTGATTATAATTACGATTAATTATAATTATTTCATCTATTACATTATAATAATACATAATATTGATAAATGTCTATAAAGTTTATATGTTACGAGAGTGTGGGGATAATTGGTTTCAATATAGTGCACTGCGTTGTTGATCATAACAATGCTATTTCGTTTTAAATTTTAGACAACATTCGAAAGAAAAGATATTAATTATTGCATCTCTTCCGGCGTGTAAAACAATTTTTTTAATTTATATTTTATTTAAATTTATTAATCCAAATATTTTATACCAATACTCAGTCTAAACTGGTAGGCGGTTCAATAATTATTAATTTTAGTACATACTCTACCATGAGAATTTGGATATTAAATTATACTCTGATATACCTATTGAACTTATTACTAAACTATTTATAGTTAATTATACAACAATGTACTAGAATTTTAAAAAATGATATGCAGAAATTCTACTACATAATAATACTAGACAGTCGTTAACATTTCACTTAAGTTATATTTATGACTATCACTCTTGTTCCATCTGGTTCATCCAAGTACACTTCACAGAGATTTGTAATATTTTATGACTTCAGTCAGTTTTAATGCCAAATTTAATTGATACATTTAATTTAGATTGAAATCATGACAAATCTTTCATAAACTCCTAGATCCTTTATTTTATCAATAAAATTGGCAAGAAAAGGGCAAATGAAGTTGAGAAAAAAGTATTTATTACTTAAAGCCAAATTATATTGACATATTCAAATTTGATTGAAACCATGCAAAATCGTTCATAAATCTTCAATCCATAATCCCATATCATCCCGTTTTTCTTTGTTACTTTTTATAGTTCATTTATAATTGTTGAGGAGAAAAGTGTGTAATACCCACAAATAATATAAATCCTCGATTATAATATGAATATTAATATATAAAGTGTAATTTTTATATAAGTTTGAAATACAGGCCAGTACGTGGGTGGTTGTTGCACTGAGGATTTTATTTAAATAGCTCTTTATTAAATGTTTGCACGTGTTATTGATTAATCGCCCATTGACGTGCGTTATATTTTTATACACTAGCTTATATTACAAATGAACTTATCACACATTTATTAATATTATTATTAAAATAGTTAAATATTATTTTTATTACTTGACGCAAATATTATAGTTAAAAATTTACTTTATATTGACATCAAAGCAGGCCATTTTTTGTACACTTTACGATTTTGATTCAATGGGTCATGTCAAAAAACTTTGCTAAAGAAAACTGAAAAGCTCAAAAGTGAAATTAGAAAAGCCAAAATTTCATTTATAGTTTTTTCTGTCCTCGTCTGCGAATTTGATGAAACTTTGCAAAAAAAACTTTGAAATATATAAAATTTCAAAGAGATATAATCACTATAAATTTTTTGTTACATTTTTTTGCTCTATTTACAGAATGTTTGCGCAAATATTTTTTTTCTATGAAATTCGAAACCGGCTAAAACATTCTAAAAACGGTTTGCTGAAATGTCGGTTTTTGTATAAATCCTAGTATGAATCTTTAACACTAAATAATAATTGTTTGATGAATCTTTTGGTTTCTATTATTTATTGGAATCCTTGTCCCAAGCTGTAATACATACAAATTCAAGACGAAACTATATATTATATTTATTAATTTAATTTATTATATACCGATGAGGTGGAGATGCAAAATATCATAACTTATGATAATTGAAGAACTAACTATCTTGTTGATGTAAAAGGCGCATCGGATAATGAATGAAGAAAGTTTTACCGAGAAAAAATATAAAAATAACATTTGTCTTTATTTATCTAAGATTTACTACAATATTTTCTTATG